CCGCAGAACATTCTTGGCCAATTCGGACTCCGTGGATGGCCCTCCGGGGCCCCTGCGCTGTCCTTGCTCCGGGCCGCCACCCCGTCCAGTCCCTTCCACGGAGGCCGCGGCCCGACGCGGGTCCTAGACCTTGTCTCTCCAGGAAGAGAAGCAGAGCGGTGCTCGGTGGCCCCATGCTCGGTGGCCCTGAGCCCAGAGCCCGGGACCCAGGCAGCCTGTCGGGGCACAAGGAGGCAAGGAGCAGGGGAAGGGCCACAAGGGGGGTGGAAGCAGCTAGACTGCGCCCCCAGTGCTGGGGTGGGAGGGGCCAGAGCTCTGAGGAGCAAGGTCGGGCGGAGCTGGGGACACCTAGCACCCTCAGGACCCCCTCCCCAGCCCTGCAGACCTCTGAGTCGGGGCCGCAGATTATCTTCTTTCCAAGGATGCGCTGCTCTCACTCAGGGGCACGGTCCTGGTGGCGGTGTGGAGAGACGCGGCCAGAGGGGCCTTCCTCACAGCAGCTGGTGGAGGGGGTTCTAGAGCAGGGGGGCAACTCCCCGCAGGCCCTGGGCACCCCCACCTCCCTGGCCATTCGGGCTCCCCTCCCTCCTGCCCCCATTCCTCCCTCAACTTCCCCTGGACGAGCCAGGAAGTCGTCTGCCTCCCTCCCCGACCCTCCGCAGCACTGGCCGGAGGGGCTCCCCCGGCTCCCCCCCTTCCCACTCACCTCCCTTCGCCCGGCCAGCCAATGGGCGTGGGTGTCTGGCTCTCTCCCGGTAAAAGGATTATATCATCTGTAATGTATATCCAGACAGGCGCACTGCTTCTCGGGAGGACGAGACAAGGAGAGGGAGCCCGCACAGCTGGCCGGAGGGGCTTTATAACCAGGTTATTGAACCTGAACCTGAGCCCTCCCAGAATGGGGGTGTTAATGGCTCCCGAGGTCACAGCCCCTCAGAAATCAATTGCTGCGCAGCTCTCCCCTCCCTCCTCTCGTCTGGCTCCCTCCTGTCCCCGCCTCGCCTGGGGCAGGCTCTCACCGTTTCACCTGCATGTGCAGATCCCAGGAGCTGCCACAGGGCCGTCTGGTTCCAAATGTCTGGCCCTGGGCCTGTCGGGAGCTGCCCCGGGCAGGTGGGGTGCTCCAGAACAGAGTCTAGGATGGGCTCCAAAGGCACGGCACCGGGAGCGAGATGTGTCTAGAAGGCCCGCTGAAGCCCCCCAGGAGGGGAGCCTGTGACCCAGTGGTGGAGTGACGGTGGCCTGCAAGGGGGGGGCATGTGGCGCGCGGCTTCAGCTGCACATACGGCTCTGGGTGGGACCCCCTGGCTGCCCGGAAGTGAAGCCTCAAGGGTGATGCACCCCAGTGCCACCGCCCCCCAGACGGGAGCAGGCTCTCCATGGCAGGACCAGAGAGGTAGGCCTCTCCTCAAAGCTTTGCTTGCTAGAAGGTGGCCCAGAATGGGGACCCGAGAAAGGTGTGCTTTAACGGTAGGGCCGTCTTCAGCCAAAGGCGCGGGGTGCCCAGGGCGCCGGAGCGCGGAGGGGGGTTGCCCGCGGACCGTGCACTTCCAGGCCAGGCTAGGGATCGCTCCATCCCAACCGAGGCCCAGCGTTCTGTCCCTCCACCTGGCGTCGGGCTGGCAGGTCTTGGGGCATCCTGCCCTGTGCCTTGGGGTTCTGGGCTGCAGAGGAGAGGCTTACAGTAGCGGCCTGGTAACTCGGCCAGAGATGCCTGTCGGGACCCCACAGGAGTGAGCACGTGGGCTCTGCTGCTTCACAAACAGAGGCCCAGCTGCGCCTTCAGAACAACCCCGATTCTGACCCAACTGGCCTGGCGCTCTAGCCCTCCTGGAGGAGGCTGTGCGTTCTGTGCCCCAGCAGGGTCTAGGCCGGGCCCTGCCAGCCGAGAGCAGTCCCTGGGGCAGGGGAGGAGAGGCCCGCTCGCCTGAGGCCTAGCAGGCCTGCGCCTTCAGAGCCCTCGGCCTGGCCCGGCCATGTGGGCTGGCATTCCTCTCCTGCGCCCTGGGTGGGTCCTGTTGCCTGGAGAGCAGAGGCCGTGGGAGGGCTGGGGTGGGAGCTTTGCAGGGGTGGGGGGCGGCCTCATTCAATCCAAATGTTCCTCCTCCAGCGTTCAGCCCTGAGTCACTCCAGCGCAGGGTGGGGGTGGGGAGCTGGGGATCGGTTAATCCAACCTTTGGGGGGCAGGAACCCTCTGCATCAGCTCACCAGGTCTTTGCTGGGGGCTGGCTGAGTGCCTTGGGCCCTGGGCGCAGCCACCATGGATCTTCCCCAAATGGAAGGACCTCTGGGGTGGGGGGGCGGGGGGGATGAAAACTAGCACCCCTCTTTTTTGGTCTCCGTATGTTTTCACGTTTCGCCTGATAAAATGGTCCTATTACCACGTGGCGCAGCTGCCAGCCTATGGTGATTTCGTGGCCAAGGCGCCTGACTTCGGAGCACCAGCAGGGCGGCCTGGCAGAGAAACTCGGAGTTCGCGCAGCAGGAGGGCCCACACACAGCCCGCTGGACGCACTTGCACAGCCTGTTTGGGCCGTTTGGCTCCACGCCGGACCCGGAGCCCCTAAGGCCGAAGGGCAGCTGACAGCACCAGCCTGGCTCTGTGGCTCCCGGGGCCTGCCTGGCAGATGCACCTGCCAGCAGCTACCCCCTGCAAGGCCCCAGGGCCAGAGCAGAGGGGGTTTTGGGGTGAGCGTCTGCGGACGCTGGAAGGGGCAAAGGACAAGGCAGGTATGCCAGGCGCTGGCAGCAGGCCCCCCGGGGACTCACACATCGTGCCTCGAAAGTGCAGCCAAGCTCGGGGGGGCCCTGGGAGGTCACGAGGTCCTCCCCTCTCCCCAGCTCTACAGGTGAGGAAACTGAGGCACCAGAGACCAAGCTGCCCCTCTCCTGTGGTTTCCAGGAAGTGACTCAGGGGAATTCGGCCCAGCTGCAGGCAGGAGCCGGGCCTCCCTTGGCTGCCCCCTCATCCATGGCGCTGCTGGCATCCCGGCTCTGCGCGCCTCCCTCCTGATGCCGTCTGGCCTGGCGTCGCCTCGCTCTGGGCTCCCTGAGCAGAGATGCCGGAGGCCTGCCAGCAGCTGGCCCACAGCAGCCCGCAGCCTCATGCTGCTTCTCTATCCCGCTCCCCACGTGGGGGGCCAAGTCAGCTACCACTGACCTGGGAGCCCCCTGCACCCCCTCTCTGCCTCCTCTCCCCCACCCCACCCCCCGCAGTGAGTGAGGCCCAGAACCCAGTGCATCCTGCTGTTGACACTGGAGGGGGGCTTCCGAACCCACTCTGGTGCTGCCACTACATCGAGCGTGACCCCAGGAAGCCACTGCCTCAGTGTCCCTAGCTCTCCCCGGGGGGGGGGGCAGTCCCCTCTGACTCCCGGACTGGTGTGGGCACAAAATGAGGTCCTTGGTGGAGATGCTCGGCCTCGGCTGTGGAGGACAGCGAAGTGGGCCGCGACAGTGCCCCCTCTCGGGCCCTCCCCCAACGCCCTGGCTCCACCCCTTCCAGGCACTGAGGCTCAAACGCTATTATTATTAGCCAGAATCTGATACAGGAGAATGGGAGAAGCCAGTGCAGACGGACCTGGGACTCGGGGCGGGGGGGGGGGGGGGCAGCACTGTCAGATGGACCCTGTGTGGCAGTAGGCGGTGGCCCTGGGGGCCAAGCTGTGTCCGGCCCTCCACGGGCCCCTTGGCTTCCCTCCAGCGTGGACTCTTGGGTGCCACCCTCCCCCAGCCCAGGTCCCGCCGGGTCAGGTGTCCCCCCACTCCTGCGCCCGAGGCTCGGGGCCGGGGCCGCGCGAGCATCCCGCAGGGGGCCGGGGCGGGCGGGGCGGCCAGTCTCGCAGGCGGGAGGAGGGCGGCCGGGGGCGGGGAAGGTGCAGGCCGCGCTCCCTCCGCGCTCCCAACCCCGCGCGCCGCCGGCGACATCGCCCCTCCTGGGCAGGGGGCGGAGAAGACGGCGACGGGAGGGGAGGAGGCGGCGGCGGAGGCGGGCTTTGGAGTTTCCCTCCGCAGCGGCGGCGGCGGCGGCCCCTCGGCTCCAGGCGAGGCCGCCGCCTGAGGCTCCGGTGGCGCTCGGTGGCAGCGGCGGTGGCGCTTCCCGCCGCCCGGGCTTCGGAAACTTCCCGGCCGCGACGCGCGGAGCCGGCGCAGGAAGCCGAGCGGATCCGGGGTGAGCGGAGGTGAGCGGAGGTGAGCGGAGCACGCGGCTCCCCGGCGCCCACCCACCCCACCCCCACCCCGCCCGGCCGCCCCCTCCGACGTGAGCGCCTCCACCCTGCACCCCAAAGTCTTGCCAGCGCGCACCCCACGGGGCCGACGCACGCGCCCCTGCGAGCCCCACTGGATCCTGCCCCCTCACACCCTCCGCATCCCGCCCGTGCACCTCCCTGTCCTCGGCCACGCACATCCCCTGCCACTTGCACGCGCGCGCACAAACCGCGCACCGGGGACCTAGTCCTGCAGCGAATGCAGCAGCAGCCCCTGACCCACCGCCCGGCACTGCCCCCAACTCAGGCGAGCACCCATCCCAGACCCTGCCATGCCTCAGTACACACCCAGGCGCGTGCGCGCGCGCACACACACGCGATACATCCCTGCCATAGCTGCACTAACATAGCTCCCCTCGCCGTGCCACCACCATCTCCAACAACCCATATGCTCATTACAGACACCCCACCCACGTTCCCAGCCCAGAGACACTGCGATCCACCTACCCCCGAGTGAAGACCCAAAACTAACTCATGCCCCAGCAGCCGACACTCCCCGCCGCCCGCAGCCAGGCCCATTCCGCAGGCGCACACCTCCTGCCTCCCCAGCGTGCACACTCGTAAGCCCCAACACGTATGCACACCTGCTGGATTTACCCTCTCTGGCACCCTGCCCCAACCCCGTGGCAAATAGCCCCCAGCACCCCCCCACACACCCAGCACATGCCGGAGTCCCTCCCACCGCCACCCCCTGACACCTGGCACTCGGGCTCTAGAGGCTGCAGCATTTGGTGGCATCCCTGCCAGGTGCCTCTGGCTCGCCTTTGGCGCCAGCAGCTCGCGTCCTGAGGCCCCCTGGGTGCCAAGCTAAAGCGATCCTGAGTCTCCCCAGCGACTGGTTTGGCCTCTTCCCTAAGAGATAGAGAAGGCACTTGGGGTGCAAGGTACCGTACTTAGCTGTGGGGTGCGGGTTGGGGGAGGGGAGGCAGGGCGAGGTGGCCCAGCTGCGGCCCAACACACGCCGGTGGCCGGGCACGCACGTAGTAGGTGGGTTGGGCGAGGACAGGAGTCTGCTGCAGTGTGTGCGCGCCTGCATGCGCGGTGAGCGGCGGGCTGTGTGTGCGTGTGCGTGGGGGTCTGTGGGGTGGGAAAATGCGCGTGAGCCTCCGGGAGAAGAAGCACCCGCCGGGGCTCCCTCATGCAACAATTGGTTTCATTCATTCATGACTTCTTTGTTAGCGAGCATTTCTTCTGGGAGCGCCGGCCAGGCCCTGCGCGGGGGGCTGGGGCAGCCTGGGGCCGCTCGCCTTGGAGGAACTCCCAGTCCTGCGAGGAGACCGACCGGGAAAAGCAGAAAGCATCCGCGGCGGAAAGTGGATCTGTGGACGAGGCGCCGGATCTGCCAGGGACGCTGGCGCTGGGACTTGTGCCCCCGGCCATGTGACTGGGCCGCCACAGCCGAAACCCTGCCCGCCGCTCGGCCCGGCGGGAACCGGGCGTTTCAGGGTGAGGGGTGGCGGGGGAGGGGGCGCCACTCCCCGGGGCTCCGGGGCACCGGAGGGCGCACGCGGCGCGCGGGGTCTGCGGCCCCCCAGGGGCGCCCGCCGGGCGGGGTGGAGGCTGGGGGGGCGCCCGGCGTTGGGGGGGCTGGAGGAGCGGCTCGGCACCCACCCTGCGGTGAGCGCCCGGCCTGCGGGCCTCGGGAGCCGGCGCGGGGCGCGGCGGGGAGGGCGCCACAGGGGTGCGGGTGCGGGCGGCCAGTGGGGTCAGGGGGTGGGGGGCTTGGCTGCGCGCAGCCCTGCAGTGCGGAGATGGCAACAGGTTCCAGTCTGTCCTGCTGCTGGCGCAGCGGGCGCTGCTGGCGCCGGGCACCGACTACTCACTTGCGAGATTGGATACCGCGCCCCCCCCACTGCCGTTCCCTCCCGGTGGGTGGGCTTGCCAGTGGCGGGAGCCGGGTGCAGGGGAGCCCCTCCTCGGGCGTTGGGAGCCGCAGGCTCGGCACAGCCCACTGGGGGGAGTTTCTTGGAGCCAAGCTTGGTCTCCCTTCAGGGGTGTGAAAGTTGCCCCCCACCCCACCTCGCCTCCACCATCTTCCCAGCCAGGCTCCCCCCCCAGCCTTCAGGGACCCCTCTCCAGAAAGCATGCCTGGGCACCTCAGGAACCCCCAAACTGCAGCTCTTAGGCTTTGCAGCTTCAGGGAACTGAGGCCCAGAGCGAGAGGAAGGAGAGGACAGGAAGGCTGCCTGGAGGAGGGCACCTGGGGGAGGAGGAGGGGCCGCTGTAAAAGGAGCGGAATCTGACTAGGCTGCGGAGGAGGGACGTCTGGGCTGGGGGCAGGGGGACACAGCGGGGACTCCTCCCAGAGGCCAGGCCGTGGGCTGCAGCTCCACAGGAGCCCTGGGCTGGCAGCGCAAGAGGAGGGGGACCCTGGAGGCCCCTTGGAGGCCCTGGCTCCCCGTAACCTGCCCTCTCCCTAGTGTTACTTCTCCAGTTTTCTCTTATTTCCGTGGCTCAGGAGAGGAGTCTTCATCCGCGGCCGTGAACCTGGTTATCGTAAACTTTGGCCTGCCCGTGGTTTTGCGTCCTCCGCGGCTTAGTTTCCCATCTGATGGTGCCCGTCCTGTGTGCCTGCCTTTACTCGGTTCCCTGCGGTCGATTCCCAGAAGTGGCCAGAGGGTGTAGGTGTCTTCGTAGCTCTGGACGCCTATGACCAAATGACTACCCAGAAGGGCCACACAGATAGAGAATCCTCCAGCAGCAGTAGAGCAGCAGGCTGACTCTGCAGCATCGTTGGCAGCACTGAGTGTACTCACTGGGAGAACGTTTTACCAGTGACAGGTGGGGAGTGTTGCCTTGTCTCTGAAATGTGCCTGCCTGCCTTCCATACCTGAGCTGGAACCTTCCCCCAGACGTCCTGTGCCCAGGTGCACTCAGTTGCATCTCTTCCCTCATGCGGTCTTTTCTGGTTCCTTGCCCATTTATCAGAGTCTTAACCTTTTGATTAATTTGTATGAGCTTTATCTTATCTGCTCTACATTTTCCTTCAACCCGGCCGTTTGCTCTCGATGGGCTTTAAGCAGGGAAGGGACACTTATCGCACCCAGCATTATGTTGTTCTGTCTCCCTGTTTATTACGCACCTATCACCTATCCGGCTAAACTGGGAGTGCGGTGCAAGCAGGGCCCCTGTGCGTCCTGCCCTGTGTGTCATCCTGTGTCCATGGAGGGTATGGAAGCCGCTGGTGTTTAATGAACAAATGGCCTGGGGCAGGGCAGGGGGGGGGGTTGAGGCGGACAGGCCTCCCCAGAGGCAGGGACAGGGGGCTTTGGAAGCTGCGACAGCCACCTGGCCAAGAGTTGGCCAATGCAAGCCCTCAGCTCGCGCAGGGAGCAGACGGGAGCATGCAGGTGTAAGAGATGCGCTGAGTACAAAGTCGCTGGCTCTCGACCAGGGAGGAGGCAGAGGGAGATGCCAGGGATGAGTCCCGGGACAGTAACGTGGCAAGAGCAGAGCACCCAAGTTTAGGGCTGGGTGCTCGGAGCTCCTGGGTTCCTGGGATCACTCACTCCTATGCAAGGGAGGCCCTCGGGGGTCCCCAGAAGCTCTCATCTGCCCTTGGGCAGAGTTCAGGGCCAGAAGACAGCAGTGGCTTTCTGCCCTTGCTTCCTCCTCCTGACCGTGATCTCAGTGGCAGCCCACGGCAGCCCAAGGTGGTGGCTGTGATGAGCCCATTGTATAGATGGGGCCGCGAGGTCCAGTCGGAGGAGATGACAGTCCAGGGCCATCGGGTGAGTGGGGCTGGAGGCAGCCTCTGGGCCGGCCCCGGGCTCCGATCCCTCCCGGAGCCCCTCCCCCTGCCTCCAGCCCACTAGTGCTGCGAAGACCGAAGACCGGAGGCCGCTCCCCTGCTGGGCCCCTGACCTGCCCTTGGCCTCTGCCCCGCCGTCCCGCTTGGGTGGAAGCCCCGGCTCAGCGCGCCACTTGGGGGCCCACCCGACTGCTTCGCTGGCACCCGTTGGCTCGCTGGCCCCCCTGAGCCCGCCCCCAGCGCCCCGCCCCTCCGAACGGCAACTCCACGTCCAAAGGCAGCGGCTTCCAAGGTGGAAGCTGGGCCCCGCTGCCAGGAAGCCGCCGGCTCGAGAGCGGCGCGGGCCGCGGCTTCCACGTGCGCGCCTGCTCCGCCGCCGCGTGTCCCGGGAGCCCCCACCGGGGGACGGCGCCCCGCGTGGCGCGCTGGCCTGGGCTCCGACCTCCGCGCGCGGCCGCCCGCCGCCGGCTCACGCTCCAGGTCTCTGTCCCGCCGTTTTGTCCTCGCGGGGCCCAGCGGGGCCGGGCGCTCCGAGAAGGCTGAGGCCTCCCCCCCCCCCCGCCCCCGGGCGGGAACTCTCGAACTTGGGGAGCGATCGCAGGCAGGCCGGGCGCGAGGGAGGGGCGCTCGGGCTCCCTCGGCTGCGGGACCTCTCGCCCTGCCCTTCCCGCGCCGGGCGCCCGGGGGGCTGCATGCGGCGCACCCCTCGGGGAGCCGGGTCGCCCCTGTGCGCGTCGTCGCCGCGGGACGGGCGCGAGGGGGGACGGGCGGTGCAGGGCAGTCCCTGCGGGCCCCAGGCGCCCGCCCGGAGGCTGCGGGCTCACGCGGCGCCCGCCCTGTCTCCGCAGCGCCAGCGGTCCGACGTGCCCGGAGCCGCGAGCCCATGGAGGGGCTGGGCCGCTCGTGCCTGTGGCTGCGTCGGGAGCTGTCGCCCCCGCGGCCGCGGCTGCTGCTCCTCGACTGCCGGAGCCGCGAGCTGTACGAGTCGGCGCGCATCGGCGGGGCGCTGAGCGTGGCCCTGCCCGCGCTGCTGCTGCGCCGCCTGCGGCGGGGGAGCCTGTCGGTCCGCGCGCTGCTGCCCGGGCCGCCGCTGCAGCCGCCCCCGCCCGCCCCGGTGCTCCTGTACGACCAGGGCGGCGGCCGGCCCCGGCGCGGGGAGGCCGAGGCCGAGGAGTGGGAGGCCGACTCGGTGCTGGGCACCCTGCTCCAGAAGCTGCGGGAGGAAGGCTACCTGGCGTACTACCTGCAGGGTAGGTGCGGGCGCTGGCGCGGTGGGGAGCGCGGTGGGGAGCGCCGGAGGCCCGGCCGCAGAGGGCCGGGCGCCTTCCGAGGGGATTCCGGGTTCCTCTGGGTTCCTTTCGCCTTGGGCCAGCCCAACCGTGTTTGTCTAAAGTGGACGTGAGACCCCCTCCTGTGAGCACGACCTTGGGCAAGTCCTTCACCCTTGGGGGGAGCCCCAGTCCGTGAGTCTGGAAAGTGGGGAGAATCTACCTGAGCTGCCCTGGCTCAGGGATGCTAAGCAGTGGAGGACCAAGTGCGAGCGCCCAGTTCCCTGCCACCCTGGGGGGGGTGGTGGTGTCACCACTTCCTAGAGCTGCTCGGCTGAGGGCAAAGGAGACAGGGGCCACAGGAGGCCAAGTCCCGCTCTGCAAAGGCTCCAGAACAGGGAACCGGAAAGCGAGAGAGAGAGAGAGAGAGAGAGAGAGAGAGAGAGAGAGAGAGAAGCAGTGAAGGCAGGACGGAGACCTATCCCACCACAGTCACCACAGGGCTGAGCAGGGAGGGGGATAGGCTGAGACAGGCCCCTTGGCCCCTTAATGAGCCAAACACACACCCAGAGGTACAGGGCAGGGACAGGGTTCCCACGAACCGACAGCTCCAGCTCAACACCTCTCCATCAAGGGCAGGGGGCTCACTGGAGTGTCGTCCTTGCTCCGTCCTGAAGGCACAGGGATACAGAAACAGCAAGTGCTGGGTCTCCACGCGCCACCCCTGGCCCGGGTGGAATGTTGCGCTCTCTCCCAGGCTCCCACCTCTCGGGGTGCTCCTGGTTGAGCTGGATGGGAGGTGGCCCCCAGGCAGAGAACTCCCATCTGAAGCTTTCCCCCTTTGGAACTGACGGTGGCTGTCCTCCCCAAGGCTGGCGGTATATCTACCCCGAGGAACCCTCGTGGCTGCCTTGGCTTGGCCCTGGCACTGTAGGATGCTCTCTGGGTGGCTCTGCCTGAGCCCAGAAGCTTGCACCCCCGCACCAAAGAGGGCGCTCGGGGTCCAGAGGAAGAGCCACCAGCCTGAGGGTGGTCGGGCTGCCCACAATTCGCCCCCCCTATACTGGGGGACACCAGTATAGACCGGGCTGCCGACCCTCGAGTTCCCTCTGGGAACATCTGCAAGCCCCCTTGGGTGTTGCAGTTGCCTGAGGTGGGTTCCCGATGCCCTGCCAGGGGTGCTTGGCTGCCCAGGTGGCCAGTCGGACAGGATGCTCCCCCTCCCGTGCCAGGTGGCTTCAGCAGATTCCAGGCCGAATGCCCCCACCTGTGTGAGACCAGCCTCAGCGGCCGCGGCAGCTCAAGCACAGCCCCGGTGCCCAGCCCGGTGGTGGGGCTGGGCGGCCTGTGCCTGGGCTCCGACTGCTCTGACGCCGAATCCGAGCCTGACCGTGACTCGCTGAGCTGTGGCCTGGATTCCGAGGGTGCCACTCCGCCCCCCGCGGGGCTGCTGCCATCCTTCCCCGTCCAGATCCTGCCCAACCTCTACCTGGGCAGCGCCCGGGATTCAGCCAACGTGGAGAGCTTGGCTAAGCTGGGCATCCGCTACATCCTCAACGTGACCCCCAACCTGCCCAACCTCTTCGAGAAGAACGGCGACTTCCACTACAAGCAGATCCCCATCTCAGACCACTGGAGCCAGAACTTGTCCCAGTTCTTTCCTGAGGCCATCGCCTTCATTGGTAAGTCGGCCCTGCCCTCCTCTCCCTGCCTCCCCCCCCCCCCCGCCGGGCCGAGCTCCCGGGAGGGCCCCTCCTGGGCTTCGCCACAGTCCCCAGAGCCCCAGACTGGACCGGCCACCCGCGACAGCCCTAGGACCCCTCAGGCAGGACGGGGCCCCCGGGGCCACCTGGCTCGCAGCAGCGCAGGGGCAGGGCCCGCGCGTCATGCTGCCTCCCGCTCTGCCCCCCGCCCCCCCAGACGAGGCCTTATCCCAGAACTGCGGGGTGCTCGTGCACTGCCTGGCAGGTGTCAGCCGCTCTGTCACCGTCACCGTGGCCTACCTCATGCAGAAGCGCCACCTGTCACTCAACGATGCCTACGACCTGGTCAAGCGGAAGAAGTCTAACATCTCCCCCAACTTCAACTTCATGGGGCAGCTCCTGGACTTCGAGCGCAGTCTGCGGCTGGAGGAGAGGCGCGCCCGGGAGCGCAGCAGCGGGGGGCAGGAGTCCGCTGCCTCCGACCCGCCCTCCTTCTTCACCACCCCCACCAGCGACGGTGTCTTCGAGCTGGACCCCACATAGGGCCCCGTCCCACCCCCGCATGGGTGCCCTCGCCCACCCATGAGCGGGGCGGTGGGGGGTGAGGAGGGAGGGGGTCTCAGCCATAAGCAGGGGGTGGGGGGCGCGCAATACCTCATGGGAGGGCTGTTGGGAAGAGGCCGGAGCCAGGAGCCCCTCCAGAGTGGCCGCGGGGAGACACCTGTCCTACCCACTTTTAACATCCACGGGAATCTTATTAAATGTGCCTATAAGCCGGGCCCAGGGCCGCCAGCCTGACCCGCGCCGCTTTCGGGCGGAACCACGCTCCAGAACCTGCCTCTTCTGCGACTGTTACTTTTTTCTTTAGGGGGGTGAGGGTGGGGGGATTCCCGTTCCAAGGGACCATCCAGATGGCTGCCTGTTCCTGGGCCTCGAGCCTCCCTGTGGCTTCTCCTCAAGCAAGGGTGTGTGCTTGCTCTGGCCCCCTCGTTTGCTGCAGAGACCTGCCCCCAGTCCCATCCCTGTCCCCAGATGGCTGCTCCTGGGGAGGCTTCCCCACCAGTTAGTCCCCTCCCTGCTTCTCTGCCAAGGCCTCAGGCCTCTTGGGGCAAGGGCCTCCCAGGGGATGCGGTCCCGGGGGTGGGGTGCCCCCCCCCAGCAGCGCAGGGTCCACGTGGACCGCCCCTCTCTGGGTGGCTCCTTGCTGGGCGCACCTCAGGGGCGGGTGCGGGCCTGGGGGCTGCTGCGCGGGTTCCTGGCCACACATCTGGCGCCCTGTTTATCCACTTGACGTTTGAAAAGATGCCTTTTTTTCCTCTTCCCCCAGATGTCTTAACGGGATCACTGGGGCTCTTTGTGACTGAGGGTGGCCAAACTGCTGCCGCGGGAGATGGGGGTCTCGGAGCAAGAGCTGGGGGCGGGGAAGGGGAAGAAGGCCTGGATTTTGCCGCTGCCGGTCCCACACAGCCACGGTTGGCCTGGGGGGGCGGGGAAGGGGCCAAGCTGCATATACAGAGTCATTCATTGCAGCGCACACCCCTCGCGGGCGGCGCGCATGCATGTGTGTGTGCATGTGCCAGTGCTCACACACGCACGCCGGCCTGTTTCCACACCCGGCCCGGGGCCCGCAGGCCCTGCTGCCTGCGGGGCCATCTCACCCTTGGGAATCCACACCACGGTTGCTTTCTTTAATTGTTCCTGAATAAACGGTTTATGTAAGATACTGAACAGAGGGAACTGCTTCCTGAGCACCCTGGAGGGTTTGGGGAAGGTGGGGGGGAGGCCCAGAGCAGGGATGCTGGAGCCCCGTGCTGGACTGTGGGGGGCGGGGGGACTTGAGCACCCACCCTCAGCCGTGACCTGCCGTCAGGCACCCACGCAGCCTGTAGGCCCAGCCTCCAGCAGAGCCGCCCATCGGCTCCTGAGCCACGGAGCCCCCACCCCGGGCCACACGCTGCTGCTCCGGACAGGGAGGTCGCATGAGCCAAAGATGCTCACCACTCGGAGCCGGCTTCCTGGAGGGGCAGGGAGGACTCTAAGCCGACCCCAGTGAGGCTGAGGGTCTGGTTCTGTGCAGGGAGCAGGGGAGCGGGGACCCACCAGCAGTGACCTCAGGGTTTGGCAGCCGAGCCCCAAGGCTCAGCGCGGAGTCGGAGCCGAGCCTCAGTGTGAGGGGATGGGAGCCACCCGAGGACGGGAGCTGGGGAGGGATGGGGGCACACCTGCGTGGCCAAGCTCATGTCCCTCTGGCTGGCACCACGTGGAATTTGCTCCTTGGACTGCAGATCCCGGGACGGAGGCAGGGAGAACCTGCAGCGGCCGCTGGGCCACCTCAAGGGACAAAGGAGGCTTGCTCCTCGCTGGCTTCCTGGGCTCAGCACCGGACAACTCCCCTGAAGCTCAGGTGGTCCTTCTCAAGCCTCGATGCCCAGGGCGCCCAGGGGGCGCAGTCGGTTAACTGACGCTTGGTTTTGCTCTGGTCGTGATCTCAGGGTCAGGAGATCGAGCCCCATGTCGGGCTCAGTGCTCAGCGGGGAGGCTGCTGGAGATTATCTCTCTCCCTCTGCCCCTCTCCTCACTCGTGCCTGCTCTCTCTCTCTCTCTCAAAGAAATAAATCTTTAAAACCATGACTCCCAACCACAGAGACGTGGCAAGAGGTGGAAGTGAAGCTGGAAGGTGGGTGCGGACAAGTGCAGGGGGCGCGCATGCCCAGGAAGCAGGAACCCAGGCCACCCCTCCTCCTTGGACACCCTCTTCCTATAGCTACCCAGACACCTCCCATGGGAGCCAGGAGATGATGCCTGGGGCCCCACATAAAGCCAGTACTCTTGGGGTACCTGGGTGGCTCAGTCGGTTGGGCGTCTGACTCGTGGTTTCAGCTCAGGTCACGATCTCATATCAGGAGATCAAGCCCCACATCAGGCTCTGTGCTGGACGGGGAGTCTGCTGGAGATTTTCTCTCTCCCTCTGCCCCTCTCCTCACTTGCTCACTCTCACGCTAAAATAAATAAATAAAATCTTAAAAAAAAAAAAAAGAAAGCCAGTACCCTTGAAGGGCAATGCTCTCAACAGGCATGGCTGACAGATTACTGCCCCCCCCCCAAAGACGGCCACATCCTAATTCCAGGCCACTGTGAATACGTTACCTTAAGTGGCAAAAAGGACACTGCAGATGTGCTGAAGTCAAGGATCTTGAGATGGGGTGACTGTCCTGGATTATCTGGGTGGGCCCGAAAACCATCATATGCATCTTTATAAGGGAAAGAGGGATTCAGGAGAGTGAGGGGAGGAGACATGGCAATGGAAACAAGGATCAGAGCCAGAAAGAGATGGGAAGAGGCTACATTACTGGCTTTGAAAGTGTACAAAGGGGCTGCAAGCCAAGGAATGCAAGTGGCTTCTAGAAGCTGCAGAAGGCAAAACAACAAATCAGCTCGACTGATACCTCGAGCTTAGCTCAGTGAAATCCATGTTGGGTTGCTGATCTCCAGAACTGGAAGAGAACACATTTGTGCTGTTTTAAACCCCTGGGTTTAAGAAAAATAAAATAAACCCCTGGGTTTGTGGCGATTTGACAACAGCAGCAGCAGAAAATGAGAACAATTGGTGACCTAGAAAAAAAAAAATACCCCACCAAAAGAGGTGAGGATATTTACTTATTTTGCCCTTGGAAATGGGTAGAAGTGTGAAAAAAAAAGGGGGGAAATTTGACCCTCAAGAATTAATAGCCACAAGCTGAATTTTTAAAAAAGATTTTTATTTATTTATTCATGAGAGACACAGAGAGAGAGAGGCAGAGACAAAAACAGGCTCCACCCAGGGAACCCAACGTGGGACTCGATCCCGGGTCTCCAGGATCACACCCTAGGCCAAAGGCGGCGCTAAACCGCTGAGCCACTGGGGCTGCCCTACAAGCTTAATTTTTAACTGAAAGAATCTAGGCATAGAGGACTACACTCCACAGCTTTTTTTCTTGGAGGGACTAAGGGACAGTGAGAGATCTGAAGGGGGGCACAGCTCCGGGATTTGTCTGGAAGCTCCATTTGCTTAGCTTGCACACGGATTTCACTTGGAATGGAACAGCCCAATAAAAATAGCGAAGTTTTGAAAATACATTTTTTTAAAGATTTTATTTATTTATTCATGAGAGACACACACAGAGAGAGAGAGAGGCAGAGACACAGGCAGAGGGAGAAGCAGGCCTCATGCATGGAGCCTGACATGGAACTCGATCCCTGGTCTCCAGGAAAAGGCCCTGGGCTGAAGGTGGCACTAAATGCTGAGCCACCCGGGCTGCCCTGAAAATACATTTTTTAAAAGTTCTAACTGAAGTGGTCCAGAAGGAGTATTGCCCCCAGAGTGCCTGGCAGGAGCAAGCACAAATCCTCTGTGCGGGGACATCCTTTCAATATGGGCCTGTAAGGTGGGCTAGGATGATGAAGGGCTGTAGTTGGGTATTTGCCCTCTGTTAGACCCTGATACAGCCCCAGTAGCTCAGGATCTGATGCAAGAGTTTGTCCCGAAGGCAGGCCTTATTAAGAACAGAATGGTGTATTTCAAAATCTCTACTTTCCCCCTCCCGCTGCCAGAAGCAGGAGACCTCTCTCGCATCTTCACTGTGCCGTTAGGGCCCCTGGAGAGAAAATGTATAAAAGTGTGGGAACCTCCCTAAGATTGGGCCCCTCCCCCCCCAGATTTTTTTTTTTTTTAACTTTCAGACGTGTCGACACTGAACCTCAAGCAATTCATCAGTTAAAGTTCAGGTTTTCCTCCCCCCGGCACTGTTCTCTCCCAGGTTTCTGCTCTGTTAGGCTATGACTCTCCCTGTATCTGCCTGCCAGTGTTTGGAACAGTGGTTCGCCCTGTGGATCTCACTTCTCTCGTGGATCTAAGGAGAGCTGTTGACTTTTCAGTGTGTTCAGCTTTTTACTTGTTGATGGCGTGCAGTGGTGACTCCCAAGCTCCTTCCATGCCCGACCAGAAGCTGGAAGTCACCCGAGTCTGATTTGATTGGCTGATTTTTTTTTATTATTGTAGGTTACATTTTATGTTTCTTCTACTTGAGTCAGAAAGTCTGGATGGTGGGGCTGACTTAACTTATTTCCTTTCTCTCTACCACAGGGTCTTCAGTGACTGTTGTCTCCCTTCTAAGAACAGTTGATTCATATATTTTGCCAAGGTTTCCAGTTTTGCGTGGTGGGAGGGTAAATTCTGGACCCTGTTACTCCCTCATGGCCATATCAGCATTGAATAATATTAAGCTTTGTTAAGATAAATACGCTAAATGCTAGATTTTCTAGAGTGAAGATTATATAGAGTGTATTACTGTTAAACTAGTAGAGGAAAAGTCTCAAACATTGAGGGAAAATCTCAATCCTAAAGAAGTCAAGGACAAAAATAAAGAAACAAACACTGGAATAAGTAGAAGGTATAAAGTAAGATTATAGAAATTAATCCAAACATCACTTAAGCAAAATAAATAGACTAAACTCTCTAGCTAAAGACAGGATTAAGGACATCTGGGTGGCTCAGCGGTTTAGCGCCTGCCTATAGCCCAGGGCATGA